AATGTGTTGGATTAGCAGGATGTTAAAGTGATAAATTAGCATGTAACTGGGGGATTAGCATGATGTTAACGTGAGGAATTAGCATGTAATGGTCACGGAAGTAGCATTGTTAAAGTCAGAGTTTACATATCAACAGAAGGATTTAGCATTGAAGTAGCCGTGTTAATGTGAGAGATTAGCAGGATGTTAGTGCGAGTTATTAGCATGTAACTGGTCACGGAAGTATCTATGTTAAACTCAGAGTTTACATATCAACAGAAGGATTTACCATTGAAGTAGCCGTATTAATGTGAGAGATTAGCAAGGTGTTAAAGTGATAAATTAGCATGTAACTGGGAGATTAGCACGATGTTAACGTGAGGAATTAGCATGTAATGGTCACAGAAGTAGCTATGTTAAAGTCAGAGTTTACATATCAACAGAAGGATTTAGCATTGAAGTAGCTATGTTAATGTGATAGATTAGCAGGATGTTAAGGTGATAAATTAGCATGTAACTGGGAGATTAGCATGATGTTAAGGTGATAAATTAGCATGTAACTGGGAGATTAGCATGATGTTAAGGTGATAAATTAGCATTTAACTGGGAGAATAGCATGACGAATCAGCATGTAACTACTCACGGAAGCGGCTATGTTAAAGGTTCACGGATCAACGGAGGAGGCATTTAGCATTGAAGTAGCCGTGTTAATGTGTTGGGTTAGCAGGATGTTAAAGTGATAAATTAGCATGTAACTGGGGGATTAGCATGATGTTAAGGTGATAAATTAGCATGTAACTGGGAGACTAGCATGATGTTAAGGTGATGAATTAGCATGTAACTGGGAGACTAGCATGACAAATCAGCATGTAACTACTCACGGAAGCGGCTATGTTAAAGTCAGGGTTCACGGATCAACGGAGGAGGCATTTAGCATTGAAGTAGCTGTGTTAATGTGTTGGATTAGCATGATGTTAAGGTGATAAATTAGCATGTAACTGGGGGATTAGCATGATGTTAAGGTGATAAATTAGCATGTAACTGGGAGACTAGCATGATGTTAAGGTGATGAATTAGCATGTAACTGGGAGATTAGCATGATGTTAAGGTGATGAATTAGCATGTAACTGGGAGATTAGCATGATGTTAAGGTGATAAATTAGCATGTAACTGGGAGATTCGCATGATGTTAAGGTGATGAATTAGCATGTAACTGGGAGACTAGCATGACAAATCAGCATGTAACTACTCACGGAAGCGGCTATATTAAAGTCAGGGTTCACGGATCAACGGAGGAGGTATTTAGCATTGAAGTAGCCGTGTTAATGTGATAGATTAGCAGGATGTTAAGGTGATAAATTAGCATGTAACTGGGAGATTAGCATGATGTTAAGGTGATAAATTAGCATGTAACTGGGAGATTAGCACGATGTTAACGTGAGGAATTAGCATGTAATGGTCACGGAAGTAGATATGTTAAAGTCAGAGTTTACATATCAACAGAAGGATTTAGCATTGAAGTAGCCGTGTTAATGTGTTGGGTTAGCAGGATGTTAAGGTGATAAATTAGCATGTAACTGGGAGACTAGCATGATGTTAAGGTGATAAATTAGCATGTAACTGGGAGATTAGCATGACAAATCAGCATGTAACTACTCACGGAAGCGGCTATGTTAAAGTCAGGGTTCACGGATCAACGGAGGAGGCATTCGTTGTACTGACGCTAAGCAACCCAGCAGATCACCGCTGTCGGTTCAACACGTCGGCTTTCGTGACCCAAAGGAAAACCCTCCGTCATGGATCGCCACCGTCAGTCGTGTCAGAGCCACGTTCGTCTGCTGTGTGTGTGTGTGGTGTGTGTGGTGTATGTGTGTGGTGTGTGTAGTGTGTGGTGTGTGTGGTGTGAGTGTGGTGTGTGTGTGGTGTGTGGTGTGTGGTGTGTGTGTGTGTGTGTGGTGTGTGCGGTGTGTGTGGTGTGTGTGGTGTGTGTGTGGTGTGTGTGGTGTGTGTGGTGTGTGTGGTGTGCGGTGTGTATGTGGTGTGTATGTGGTGTGTGGTGTGTGTGGTGTGTGTGGTGTGTGTGTGGTGTGTGTGGTGTGTGTGGTGTGTGTGTGTGGTGTGTGGTGTGTGTGGTGTGTGTGGTGTGTGTGTGTGGTGTGTGTGTGTGTGGTGTGAGTGTGTGAGTGTGGTGTGTGGTGTGTGTGGTGTGTGCGGTGTGTGTGGTGTGTGTGTGTGGTGCGTAGTGTGTGTGGTGGTGTGTGTGGTGTGTGGTGTGTGTGGTGTGTGTGTGGTGTGTGTGGTGTGTGTGGTGTGTGTGGTGTGTGTGGTGTGTGTGTGTGGTGTGTGTGTGTGGTGTGTGTGGTGTGTGTGTGGTGTGTGTGTGGTGTGTGTGGTGTGTGGTGTGTGTGTGGTGTGTGTGGTGTGTGGTGTGTGGTGTGTGTGGTGTGGTGTGGGTGGGGGGTGTGGGTGGTGTGTGTGTGGTGTGTGTGTTGTGTGTGTTGTGTGTGTGGTGTGGGTGTTGTGTGTGTGTGGTGTGTGTGGTGTGTGGTGTGTGTGGTGTGTGTGGTGTGTGTGTGGTGTGGTGTGTGTGGTGTGTGGTGTGTGTGGTGGTGTGGTGTGTGGTGTGTGCGGTGTGTGGTGTGTGTGTGGTGTGGTGTGTGTGTGGTGTGTGTGTGGTGTGTGTGGTGTGTGTGTGGTGTGTGTGTGGTGTGTGGTGTGTGTGGTGTGTGTGTGTGTGGTGTGTGTGTGGTGTGTGTGTGGTGTGTGTGTGGTGTGTGTGTGTGCGGTTAGCGGAGCTAACTGGTTGCCCTTGCGAAACGCCGTGCGTACGTGCGAGCGTGTGTACGAGCGGAGCGGAGCGTGGCGAGTCACGTTCAGGTTGAGTTGAAATCTCTCCGCGAGAACGCGCGAGGTAGCAGGGCCAACCCCCTCCAAGAGCCGTCTCTAAAGTCAACGTCTCTGGCGTCACAACAACAACAACAACAACCGCCGCCGTTCGCCACGAAGAGCCGGTGACGTCACCACGACGCTTGTGCCAGGCTAGGTGCACGTCGAGGCCACGTGAAGTGTCGGACGCCCGCCGGCAGGAGGTCACGTGACAGACCCAGCCAGGTGCCACGGGGTTGTACTGCTGCTGCTGTGCCAGGCTAGGTGCATGAGGAGGAGGTCACGGGGCAGACCCAGCCAGGTGCCGTAGGTTGACTGCTGCTGCTGTGCCAGGCTAGGTGCATGAGGAGGAGGTCACGTGACAGACCCTGCAGGTGCCCACGGGTTGACTGCTGCTGCTGTGCCAGGCTAGGTGCATGAGGAGGAGGTCACGTGACAGACCCTGCAGGTGCCCACGGGTTGACTGCTGCTGCTGTGCCAGGCTAGGTGCATGAGGAGGAGGTCACGGGGCAGACCCAGCAGGTGCCACGGGTTTGTACTGCTGCTGCTGCTGTGCCAGGCTAGGTGCATGAGGAGGAGGTCACGGGGCAGACCCAGCCAGGTGCCACGGGTTGACTGCTGCTGCTGTGCCAGGCTAGGTGCATGAGGAGGAGGTCACGGGGCAGACCCAGCCAGGTGCCGTAGGTTGACTGCTGCTGCTGCTGTGCCAGGCTAGGTGCATGAGGAGGAGGTCACGGGGCAGACCCAGCCAGGTGCCACGGGGTTGTACTGCTGCTGCTGCTGTGCCAGGCTAGGTGCATGAGGACGAGGTCACGGGACAGACCCAGCAGGTGCCACAAGTCGACTGACTGAGATGACTTGCCGATGCACCACCTGTGCCCCCTACTGTACCAACTTACACGTCTATATATCTATATATACATTTGAATCGTTGCAAAACTAATGGCACCTTTTTTGGCTTGTGGTCCGTTACAGTTTTTGCTGTCCCTGAGTTTCTAGATTATGACGTAAACGTGTATCGTAGCTGCCTATGGGTCTCTGTGTGTCGCTGGGGGTCTCTGTGGGTGTCTCTGTGGGTGTCTGTGGGTGTCTCTGTGGGTCTCTGTGGGTGTCTGTGGGTCTCTGTGGGTCTATGGGTGTCGCTGTGGGTCTCTGTAGGTCTCTGTGGGTGTCTCTGTGGGTCTCTGTGTGTCTCTGTGGGTGTCTCTGTGGGTGTCTCTGTGGGTCTCTGTGGGTGTCTGTGGGTCTCTGTGGGTCTATGGGTGTCGCTGTGGGTCTCTGTAGGTCTCTGTGGGTGTCTCTGTGGGTCTCTGTGTGTCTCTGTGGGTCTCTGTGGGTCTACGGGTGTCGCTGTGGGTCTCTGAGGGTCTCTATGGGTCTCTGTGGGTCTCTGTGGGTCTCTGTGGGTCTCTGTGGGTCTCTGTGGGTCTCTGTGGGTCTCTGTGGGTCTCTGTGGGTGTCGCTGTGTGTCGCTGTCGGTCTCTGTCGGAGTCTCTATGGGTCTCTGTGGGTCTCTGTGGGTCTCTATACGTCTATGGGTGTCTCTGTGGGTTTCTGTGGGTGGGCCTGTGGGTCTCTGTGGGTCTCTGTGGGTCTCTGTGGGTCTCTGTGGGTCTCTGTGGGTGTCTCTGTGTGTCTCTGTGGGTCTCTGTGGGTGTCTCTGTGTGTCTCTGTGGGTCTCTGTGTGTCTACGGGTGTCTCTGTGGGTCTCTGTGGTTCTCTATGGGTCTCTGTGTGTCTAGGGTCTCTGTGGGTCTCTGTGATTCTCTACGGGTCTCTGTGGGTCTCTGTGGGTCTCTGTGTGTCTAGGGTCTCTGTGTGTCCCTGTGGTTCTCTACGGGTCTCTGTGTGTCTCTGTGGGTCTCTGTGGGTGTCCCGGACGGTCACCTCCTCCACCGCCTCCGCCGCCACGCCGGGCCTCTCCCGACAACCTCCCGGCTTGCACCAACGGCGGAAGCCGGACGCCGAGCGGACGAGAACGCCGCAACGCCAACGCCCCCTCCACCGCCTCCTCCACCGCCTCCCCCTCCACCACCGCCACCACCGCCTCCACCGCCGCCGCGGCCCCCGGAGGCGCCTCGCCGCCGCGGCCGCGGCCGCCGCCGCCGCGGCCGCGGCCGCCAGCGCCGCGTTGCCGGCGAGCGGCGGGCAGAGCCGCAGGGCGGCGGCGGCGTCGCCGGCGGCGCAGCGCCACGGCCGGCCGGGCGCCGCCCGGGCCGCCTCGGCCGCGGCCCACGCGGCCCTGAGCCGCGTGGGCCGGAGGCCGTGGGCGGTGAGGACGCGGGCGTAGGCGCAGCCCAGGCCCGGGCCCGGGCCCTGGCCCTGGCCCTGGCCCTGGCCCTGGCCCTGGCCCTGGCCCTGGCCCTGGCCCTGGCCCTGGCCCTGGCCCTGGCCCTGGCCCTGGCCCTGGCCCTGGCCCTGGCCCTGGCCCTGGCCCTGGCCCTGGCCCTGGCCCTGGCCCTGGCCCTGGCCCTGGCCCTGGCCCTGGCCCTGGCCCTGGGACTCCTCCGGCGGGAGCCCCGCGGTGAAGAGCCGGAGGGACGCCGGCTCGAGCGGCCGCAGGCCCAGGGCGCGGGCGCACAGCCCCACGTAGACGTCCTCGGCCGGCACGGCCGGCACGCGGAGGGACGCGGCGGCGACGGCCGCGGCCGCGTCCCTCGAGAGGACGTAGCCCGAGCCCGAGCAGTACGGGGGGTAGCGGCCCGGCGGGTAGTCGCGGGCCGACACGGCGAAGCGGCCCGCGGGCCCGCGGGCCGGGAGGCCGCCCCGCATGGGGAGGCCCGCGTAGACGCGGCGGCGGAAGGGGGCGGCTCCGACCGGCGGCCGGGCCCACGGCCGGGCCCACGGCCAGGCCCAGGCCCAGGCCCGGGCCCACGGCCAGGCCCACGTCGTGGGGGCGAGCGCGAGGAGAACGTCGAGCAGGAGCGGCACGTTGACCAAGACGTCCGAGTCGGTCTTCATGACGTAGGAGGCCCCGGGGCAGCGCCTCGCCGCCCAGCGGAGGCCGCTCACCGTCTTCAGCGTGAGGTTGGCGTACGAGTCCACGTAGGCGCCCACCAGGAGGTCGCCGTGGAGGAGCGACTCGGCCCTCAGGGCCTCCTCCTCCTCCTCCTTGGCCTCCTCGGCCTCGGCGGCCTCGCCGGCCTTTGCCGAGCCCAGGAGGAAGACGACGGTCACGGCCAGGGGCCCGTGGCGGGGGTCGGGCGACGGGGCCGCCGCCGGCGGAGGCCATCGCCCCCAGGTCTCCCGCACGGCCGAGCGGGCCGCGGCCTCGGAGCGCCGGGACAGCACGAGGATGAGGAGGAAGGGGGAGGTGGGGGCCGAGGACCCGGGGGGCCGGCAGGCCGCTCGCGGCTCCACGAGGTAGCGGTCGGCCACGCGGCCCACGCCGGGCAGTGGCGGCCGTGGCGGCCGCCGCGGTGCTAGCGGGGGGCCCTCATTGCCGCTGTCCACACCACGGTCTGGCCGATGATGATGCTGATGATGTTGTTGTTGTTGCTGCTGCTGATGATGTTGTTGTTGATGATGCTGATGATGTTGTTGTTGTTGTTGATGATGATGCTGATGATGTTGTTGTTGTTGTTGCCCCCGACCGTCGCCACGCAGACCTCCGTCTGCCGCCCGCAAGCCCCCCACTCGCCCCTCCAGACCCTCCAGACCCCCTGCCGTCAAAGCTCTCCCATCAGCCCCCTCCCACTCGGCCCCCTCCCACTCGGCCCCCTCCCCCTCGGCCCCCTCCCACTCGGCCCCCTCCCACTCGGCCCCCTCCCACTCGGCCCCCTCCCACTCGGCCCCCTCCCACTCGGCCCCCTCGGCCCCCTCGGCCCCCTCCCACTCGGCCCCCTCGGCCCCCTCGGCCCCCTCGGCCTCCCCACCGGCGACTCCGCGGGCCATCCGAGTGCCGGCCGGCAAGCGGCCGGCGTCTCCGTCGCCTGCGAGAACACGGAGGGAGGGAGGGGAGGGAGGGAGGGAGGGGGGGGAGCGGAGGGGAGGGAGGGAGGGGGGGGAGGGAGGGAGGGAGGGAGGGAGGGAGGGAGGGGGGGGGGAGGGGGGGGGAGGGAGGGAGGGAGGGAGGGAGGGAGGGAGGGAGGGAGGGAGGAGAGGGAGGGAAGTGGGTGGGTAAACTTTTTACTGACGCGCCGTTCCTGTGGCCGTCTGGACCGCTCATAGCGGCCGCTACTGAGAAGCCACTTGGGTGGGTGAGAGGGTGGGTGGGTGAGAGGGTGGGTGGGTGAGAGGGTGGGTGGGTGAGAGGGTGGGTGAGAGGGTGGGTGGGTGAGAGGGTGGGTGGGTGAGAGGGTGGGTGGGTGAGAGGGTGGGTGGGTGAGAGGGTGGGTGGGTGAATGGGTGGGTGGGTGAGAGGGTGGGTGAGAGGGTGGGTGAGTGAGAGGGTGGGTGGGTGAGAGGGTGGGTGGGTGAGAGGGTGGGTGGGTGAGAGGGTGGGTGGGTGAATGGGTGGGTGGGTGAGAGGGTGGGTGAGAGGGTGGGTGAGTGAGTGAGTGGGTGAATAATTGGGTGGCTGGCTGGCTGGCTGAGTGAGATGGTGAATGAATGAGTGGGTGGGTGAGAGGGTGGGTGGGTGGGTGAATGGGTGGCTGGCTGGCTGGCTGAGTGAGATCGTGAATGAATGAGTGGGTGGGTGAGAGGGTGGGTGGGTCGGTGAGAGGGTGGGTGGGTGGGTGAGAGGGTGGCTGGCTGGCTGGCTGAGTGAGATGACGAACGAACGAACGAACGAGTGAGCGGGCGGGGTGAAATCTACCAAAACCGAAAGCGGCCACCACCGCCTCCGCGGCCTCCGCGGCCTCCGCGGCCTCGCCCCCGCGCCGCCCGGCCGCCCGCCGCTCCAGCCAGCGGCGGTACAAGTCGTGGATCTCCGCGGGCCGTCCGCGGCCCTGGCGCCGGCCGCCCCGCTGCCACTGGCGTCTCAGCGGGGCCGGTAGCCCGCGGGCCAGGAAGCCGTCCACCTGCTCGTAGCGCGACCGCTCCCAGCGCACGAGGAGCAGGGCCAGGGACACGGCCGCCAGCAGCGCCGAGAAGCCGGCGACCGCCACCAGGACGGGCCGGGCGTGGCCGTGGCGGCGGTGGTGGTGGTGGTGGTGCAGGGGAAGCATCGGAGCTGTTGTGGGGTGGGGGTGGTGGTGGTGGGGGTGGGTGGGGGGGTGGTGGTGGGGGGGTATTACCGAGGAGGCGAGCTCACTTCGAGCTATTCGCTCAGCCAACTCAGTCACTCACTCACCACTCACTCATTCACCCACCCACTCACTCACTCACCCACCCACTCACTCACCAACCCACACACTCACTCAGTCATCCACTCACTCACTCACCCACCCACTCACTCACTCATCCACTCACTAACTCACCCACCCACTCACTCACCCACTCAGTCACCCACTCACCCACTCACTCACCCACTCAGTCACTCACTCACTCACTCACCCACTCACTCACTCACCCACCCACTCACTCACTCACCCACTCACCCACCCACTCACTCACTCACCCACCCACTCACTCACTCACCCACTCACTCACCCACTCACTCACCCACTCAGTCACCCACTCACTCACTCAGTCACTCACTCACTCACCCACTCACTCATCCACTCACTCACTCACTCATCCACTCACTCACCCACCCACTCATTCACCCACCCACTCACTCACCCACTCAGTCACCCACTCACTCACTCACCCACCCACTCACTCACCCACTCACTCACTCACCCACTCAGTCACCCACCTACTCACTCACTCACTCACCCACTCACTCACCCACTCACTCACTCACCCACCCACTCACCCACCAACCCAAAAGAATCGATTGCATATAGAAATCAAATCCGGAAAATATTCTGCGGTAATCGATCCAACCGATGACGTCAAAGCAACAATCGAACATCTGCAATCGAATAACTCCCCATAACTCATAACGATTTCCCATTGACCTCAACATGGGAATCGATTCATATTAAATCGACACCTATCAACACCACCACGGCAAAGACAAAGATCCCCCAGGTAGCCTCTAGCAGGGCTGTAGGGGCAAGTGCTGTTAGTAGCAAAGACAAAGATCCCCCAGGTAGCCTCTAGCAGGGCTGTAGGGGCAAGTGCTGTTAGTAGCAAAGGCAAAGATCCCCCAGGTAGCCTCTAGCAGGGCTGTAGGGGCAAGTGCTGTTAGTAGCAAAGGCAAAGATCCCCCAGGTAGCCTCTAGCAGGCTGTAGGGGCAAGTGCTGTTAGTAGCAAAGACAAAGATCCCCCAGGTAGCCTCTAACAGGGCTGTAGGGTCAAGTGCTGTGTGTAGCAAAGGCAAAGATCCCCCAGGTAGCCTCTAGCAGGCTGTAGGGGCAAGTGCTGTTAGTAGCAAAGGCAAAGATCCCCCAGGTAGCCTCTAGCAGGGCTGTAGGGGCAAGTGCTGTTAGCGAGCACCTATGAAGGCCGGAACGGCACACTCAGCACCACCCACCCACCCAGTCACAGACTCACTCAACCACACATCTACCCACCCACACATCTACCCACCCACACACTCACCCACCCACTCACTCACCCACCCACTCACTCACCCACCCACACACTCACCCACCCACTCACTCACCCACCCACTCACTCACCCACCCACTCAATCACCCACCCACTCACTCACCCACCCACTCACTCACCCACCCACACACTCACCCACCCACTCACTCACCCACCCACTCACTCACCCACCCACTCACTCACCCACCCACTCACCCACCAACCCAAAAGAATCGATTGCAAGTAGAAATCAAATCCGGAAAAGATTCTGCGGGAATCGATCCAACCGATAGGACGTCAAAGCAAGAATCGAAAATCTGCAATCGAATTACTCCACAAAACTCATAACTCATAACGATTTCCCATTGACCTCAACGTGGGAATCGATTCATATTAAATCGACACCTATCAACACCACCACGGCAAAGACCAAGATACCCCAGGTAGCCTCTAATAGGGCTGTAGGGGCAAGTGCTGTTAGTAGCAAAGACAAAGATCCCCCAGGTAGCCTCTAGCAGGGCTGTAGGGGCAAGTGCTGTTAGTAGCAAAGACAAAGATCCCCCAGGTAGCCTCTAGCAGGGTTGTAGGGGCAAGTGGCTGTTAGTAGCAAAGACAAAGCTCCCCCAGGTAGCCTCTAGCAGGCTGTAGGGGCAAGTGCTGTTAGTAGCAAAGACACAAAGATCCCCCAGGTAGCCTCTAGCAGGGCTGTAGGGGCAAGTGCTGTTAGTAGCAGCAGCGTCTATGAAGGCTCCCGGCACTGTGGCTACACAGAGGGGGTGCCCACCAGCACCACCACGCCCGGCCGCCTTTGTCTCCCCCAGCCCCAGCGATGGTCACTGCACTACACCGCTACGCCTGGTTACTACTCACTTGAGGCTGAGTCGACCTAGGGGAGGCCCAGGTACCGGTTCAGATAATCGCTGTCACTGAGTGGTGGTGGCGGTGGTGGCCGTGAGCGGGAATCGAACTCGGGTCGCCAGGTTCGTAGCGCAGCGTAGCGCTAACCACTACACCCACCGCTCCCCACATCATTACCACAACAACCGTCATCACCACCATCATCATCATCACCACCACAACAAACATCACAACCATCACAAAAACCATCATCACCACCATCATCACCATCATCACCACCATCATCATCACCACCATCATCACCTCCATCACCACAACCACCATCATCACCACCACAACCATCATCATCACTACCACCATCATCACCACCACAACCATCGTCATCACCACCATCACCACAACCACCATCATCACCACCACTACCACCATCACCACAACCACCATCATCACCACCACCATCACCACAACAACCGTCATCACCACCATCATCATCATCACCACCACAAGAAACATCACAACCACAACAACCATCACAAAAACCTTCATCACCACCACCATCATCGCCACCATCACCACCACCATCACCACAATCACCATCATCACCACTACAACAACCATCATCACCACCATCATCATCATCACCATCATCACCACTACAACCATCATCACCACCATCATCACCATCATCATCACTACCATCACCACCATCATCACCACTATCACAACCACCATCATCATCACCACTATCACCACAACCACCATCATCAGCACCACAACCAACATCATCACCACCACCACAACAAACATCACAACCACAACAACCATCACGAAAACCATCATCACCACCATCACCACCAACACCATCACCACAATCACCATCATCACCAAAACAAAAACCATCATCACCACCATCATCATCATCACCACCATCACCACCACCACCATCATCACCACTATCACCACAACCACCATCATCACCACCACAACCATCATCATCACCACCACCACCATCACAACAACCATCACCACAACAACCATCACCACAACCATCAACAACTTACTTCAATACTGAGGATTCCAGTCGATTAGAGAGAGACAGAGACAGACAGACAGACACACACGGACAGAAACACAGGGAGACACAGAGACACAGAGAGAGACACACACAGAGACACACACAGAGACACAGAGAGAGACACACAGACACACACACAGAGACACAGAGAGAGACACACACAGAGACACACACAGAGACACAGAGAGAGACACACAGAGACACACACAGAGACACAGAGAGAGACACACAGAAACACACACAGAGAGAGGCACACACAAAGAGAGAGAGAGAGACAGAGAGAGACACACAGAGACTCACACAGAGACACACACAGATACACTCACAGAGACACACACAGAGACACACAGAGAGACACAGAGAGACACAGAGACACACACAGAGACACAGAGAGAGAGACACAGAGAGAGACACAGAGAGAGAGACACAGAGAGAGACACACAGAGACACACACAGAGAGAGACACACACAGAGAGAGACACACACAGAGACACACACAGAGACACACACACAGACACACACACAGAGACACACACAGACACACAGAGAGAGAGAGACACACACAGAGAGAGAGACACACACAGAGACACAGAGAGAGACACAGAGAGAGAGACACAGAGAGAGAGAGACACACAGAGATACAGAGAGAGACACAGAGAGAGACACAGACACAGAGAGACACAAACAGAGACACAGAGAGAGACACAGACACAGAGACACACAGAGAGAGAGACACACAGAGAGAGACACAGAGAGAGACACACAGAGACAGACACAGAGAGAGACACACAGAGACACACAGACACAGAGACACAGAGAGACACACAGGGACACAGAGACACACAGAGAGAGACACACACAGACAGAGAGACACACAGAGACACACAGAGAGAGACACACAGAGAGAGACACACAGAGAGAGAGAGAGAGACACACAGACACAGAGACACAGAGAGAGACACACAGGGACACAGAGAGAGACACAGAGAGAGACACACAGAGAGAGACACACACAGACAGAGAGAGAGACACACACAGAGACACACAGACACAGAGAGAGAGACACACAGAGAGAGACACACACACAGACACAGAGAGAGACACAGAGAGAGAGAGACACACAGAGACACACAGACACAGAGACACACAGAGAGAGACACACACAGACACAGAGAGAGAGAGACACAGAGACACACAGACACAGACACACAGAGAGAGACACACAGGGACACAGTCGCTGTGTGCGTTACGTGAGAAGTGCGCGCCAAGTGAGCATGCATCACTTTAACTCGCCCCCGCCCCCCGCCCCCCGAGGCCTTTTAAAAATGGCCGCTGCGTCGCGGTGGATAGAGGAAGAGACATGCACCGCTACTACTACCACGACCACCAGCCCATAGAGCGACATAGAGATCCCATAGAGACACACAGAGACCCATAGAGATACATAGAGACCCATAGAGATACACAGAGATACACAGAGACCCATAGAGATACATAGAGACCCATAGAGATACATAGAGACCCATAGAGATACACAGAGACCCATAGAGATACACAGAGACCCATAGAGATACATAGAGGCCCATAGAGATACACAGAGATACATAGAGATACACAGAGACCCATAGAGATACATAGAGACCCATAGAGATACACAAAGAGACCCATAGAGACACACAGAGACCCATAGAGACACACAGAGACCCATAGAGACACGCAGAGACCCATAGAGACACACAGAGACCTATAGAGATACATAGAGACCCATAGAGATACACAGATACATAGAGATACTTAGAGACCCATAGAGATACACAGAGATCCATAGAGATACATAGAGATGTATAGAGATACATAGAGATACATAGAGACCCATAGAGATACACAGAGATCCATAGAGATACACAGAGACCCAGAGAGATACATAGAGACCCATAGAGGTACACAGAGATCCATAGAGATACACAGAGACCCATAGAGATACACAAAGACCCATAGAGATACATAGAGATACATAGAGACCCATAGAGATACACAGAGACCCATAGAGATACACAGAGACCCATAGAGATACAAAGAGATACATAGACACCCATAGAGATACACAGAGACCCACAGAGATACATAGAGACCCATAGAGATACACAAAGAGACCCATAGAGACACACAGAGACCCATAGAGACACGCAGAGACCCATAGAGACACACAGAGACCTATAGAGATACATAGAGACCCATAGAGATACACAGATACATAGAGATACATAGAGACCCATAGAGATACAAAGAGATCCATAGAGATACATAGAGATATATAGAGATACATAGAGATACATAGAGACCCATAGAGATACACAGAGATCCATAGAGATACACAGAGACCCAGAGAGATACATAGAGACCCAAAGAGGTACACAGAGATCCATAGAGATACACAGAGACCCATAGAGATACACAGAGACCCATAGAGATACATAGAGATACATAGAGACCCATAGAGATACACAGAGACCCATAGAGATACACAGAGACCCATAGAGATACATAGAGATACATAGACACCCATAGAGATGCATAGAGACCCATAGAGATATATAGAGATACATAGAGACCCATAGAGATACATAGAGACACATAGAGATACATAGAGACCCATAGAGATACCCAGAGACCCATAGAGACACACAGAGACTCATAGAGATACACAGAGACTCATAGAGACACATAGAGACACATAGAGACACATACAGATACACAGAGACCCATAGAGACACACAGACACCCATAGAGACCCCCCCCCCCTTAATAAATGTAGTGTAGCAGGTAAGACTCGCTGATCAGTGAGTGATCAACATCGTCACGGCCAAGTGGACATTCAAAGCAGAGGAGATAATTACATTTTCACGGCTGAGTAAGGAAATTCGTGGAAATTTAAAACGCAAATAGACGTGATGTGGTGAGCACTGGGATTAGAAAGATTTCACTCAGTCAGTCACTCAGTCAGTAACTCAGTCAGTCACTCAGTCACTCACTCACTCACCCATCCACCCACACACTCACCTATCCATCCTCTCACCCACTCACTCACTCACCCACCCACCCATCCACCCACCCACCAACCCACACACTCACCCACCCACCCACAAACCACTCATCAACCCACCCACTCACTCACCCACTCACTTACCCACCCACCCACTCACCCACCCACCCACTCACTCACCCCCTCACCCACTCACTCACCCACTCACTCACCCACCCACTCACTCACCCACCCACCCACTCACCCACTCACTCACCCACCCCCTCACTCACTCATCCACCCACTCACTCACCCACCCACTCACGCACCCACACACTCACTCACCCACCCACCCACCACTCATCCACCCACCCACTCACTCACCCACCCACTCACTCACCCCCTCACCCACTCACTCACCCACTCACCCACCCACTCACTCACCGACTCACCCACTCACCCACCCACTCACCCACCCACTCACTCACCCACTCACTCACTCACCCACTCACCCACCCACTCACCCACCCACCCACTCACCCACCCACTCACCCACTCACTCACTCACCTACCCACCCACCCACTCAATCAATCACTCACCCATCCACTCACTCACCCACCCACTCACTCACCCACTCACTCACTCACTCACCCACTCACCCACCCACTCACTCACCCACTCACCCACTCACCCACCCACTCACCCACCCACTCACTCACTCACCCACTCACCCACCCACCCACTCACTCACCCACTCACTCACTCACCCACTCACTCACTCACCCACCCACTCACTCACTCACCGACTCACTCACCCACTCACTCACTCACCCACTCACTCACTCCCTCACCCACTCACTCCCTCACCCACTCACTCACCCACCCACCCACTCACCCACCCCCTCACTCCCTCACCCACTCACCCACCCACTCACCCAGCCCCTCACTCCCTCGCCCACTCACCCACCCACTCACCCACCCACTCACTCACTCACCCACTCACCCACCCACCCACTCACTCACCCACTCACTCACTCACCCACTCACTCACTCACCCACTCACTCACTCACCGACTCACCCACCCACCCACTCACTCACCCACTCACTCACTCACCCACTCACTCACCCACCCACCACTCACCCACCACGCACCCACCCCCTCACTCCCTCACCCACCCACTCACCCACCCACTCACCCACCCCCTCACTCCCTCACCCACTCACCCACCCACTCACTCACCCACCCCCTCACTCACTCACCGACTCACCCACCCACCCACTCACTCACCCACTCACTCACTCACCCACCCACTCACCCACCCACTCACTCACTCACCCACTCACCCACCCACCCACTCATCCACTCACTCACTCACCCATTCACTCACTCACTCCCCCACCCACTCACTCACTCACCGACTCACTCACCCCCTCACTCCCTCACCCACTCACCCACCCACTCACCCACCCACTCACTCACTCACCCACTCACCCACCCACTCACTCACTCACTCCCTCACCCACTCACCCACTCACCCACCCACCACTCACCCACCCCCTCACTCCCTCACCCACCCACCCACTC